AATTGATTTTCACTGATGATCGACTGCTTATTTAACCAGTGCAGTGCCTGATGTGCCTGTCATCAATCACCACTCTCCACTGATCAATCTGTTCCCCTGTTTTTCCCTCCTTCACCAGTTTTCGCCTTCGTCTGGATGCCATGATCCTGCAGCAAGAGTTTGACCCTGCTGTGACCTCTCTGTGTGTGGCAGCCAGATGTCTGAGGGAAGCAGCCCGAGGTAAAATAACAGCAGGGAGTTGTGTACTCCGCCACTATAAAGATCTGGGAACCCTGTTGCCCTTTTTTAAATGCTTGTATTTGCAGAAATCCTAGGAGTCAGGATGCAAATGAGATGACTTATTCTGGATGCTAAATACTTTAAAGATTTAGGAGTAACCTGCTGCTAGCAACTTTTTAAAATAAAGGTGTAGTGCAATAGTCATTTTAAGTGTCAGAACAAAGTTGCTGACTTATTTCATGCCCTTCATGTCCGCTTCATTCACACTCCTTCAACCGTGAGGCACAGTATTAAATCTGTCTTTTATGCTCCTAGAACTGCTGAGCTGCCCAGAATTACACTCCATCCTTCGTCTGGTCCTCAAAGCGGGGAACTATATGAATGCAGTGAGTGCTTCTTTATTTCCCTTTCGATTCTTTTAATCTGTTTACAGTTACCCAAACGCTAGTGGTCTGGGTTTGTGTTCAGAGGCGCCGTTCAGACTGCGCACCTGGGTTTTGAATCGTTGTTTGTTTAAAGCTGTCACGTGTTGTGCGTGTGTTTTGTTTTGACCTTGTGCGTGTCTTCTCAGGGTGGATATTCAGGAAATGCTGCTGGTTTTCGAATTTCATCGCTGCTGAAGCTGGCTGACACCAAAGCCAACAAGCCAGGCATGAATTTGCTGCATTTTGTTGCTATGGTAAGATCTGAAATGTAGATGCCGTGAAATATAGTAGCTATTTTCAGTTGAAGAAATACAGTTGGTGTTGGCTCCAAAAAAAAAAAAAAAAAGTAGTTCAAGGCCCTCAAACCAGATTGCTTTGCAGAGCGTCAGATTTTTCTCACCATTGGTAAATGATGTTTTGCTTCCTTTGAAACAATGGATGATTAATCATGTGTTTGTCTCCACAGGAAGCTGTGAAAAAAGACCAGAGTTTACTATCATTTCCCAGCCAACTAGGTCATGTTGGCTCCGCCTCCAGGTCAGTCTTTTTTCCCCCAAATCTATATCCTACTGTTATTTAGTCTGCATGATCATTGTTAATGACAATAATACCTCAAACACTCTACTGAAACAACAAAACACCCAGCTGTCAGCAAAAGATGCATGATTGACAGTGGGGTATGATGGCCACTACTTAAGCTGCTGGACATTTTGACCATTTTTCTTATTTCAATTGATGACTACAGCTGGGTGCTAAGAGATGACTATCTCTCCGAGACTCTCAATTCCTGCACCCTTGCTCCTGCATTCTTGCTAGAATATTTAAAGGGGACATGTTTTGCTCATTTGCAGATTTTAATTCCTGCTTCTTTATGACAAATTCCTAGACACTTTCGATCATGTGCAATCATTTATTTCCAGTCTTTAACTATTCACCCTTTGTTGAGACATACAGTTTATCCACCTGTTTCTGTTCAGTTCACAAAATGATTGCATGTATGTATTTGTCCTCTCCTCCTTTTGCAGGTTTTGTGAAGAGTCTGTGCTTGATGACTTGGCCAAGTTAAAAAGCAGAGTTGCGGCCCTCAAGGCAAATATACAGACTGAGGCAGAGATTCAGAAGCAGACGCAGCCTTTCCTGGAGGTGTGCAAAAAATTAGATTTTTAAATGGACTGTCTCCAACTTGAGGCAGGTTATCTCAAGTTCAAGTTTTGGGGCTTTAATTGAAGGGGTAATGAATATGTTCATGTAAAATGTATCTACAGGTGGCTGAAGAGCGTCTGAAGGAGGCAGAGGACGAGGTGGAGGGTATGAAGATGTCGAGTCAGGCTCTGGTGGAGTTTTTCTGTGAAGATGACAGCACTTTTAAATTGGAGGAGGCTTGCAGGGTCTTTCATTTGTTTTGCCACCGCTTCCAAAGAGCAGTCCAGGTTAGAAGCTGTCGATAGGAAAATTGCGTCATAGGACCTTTAACTGTATGCTAAAGATGAGTGAGCAACTATCCTTTCTCTCTCATTTTTCCATAGGAAAATGCAGAACGTGAATTGAAAGAACAGAAACGTCTGGAACGCCAACGTGAGATGGCAGAAAAGCGTCGCTCTCTGGCAGTTTGCACTGGGTTAGACCTGAGCCTGAGCCTCGCCAGAGAGCCTCCCAGTCAGGAGAGCCAGGATGAGCTGGAAAAACTCCTAGAGAGGAATCTAAGCTACACTTGGAGCCGTCGTAGTCTTAGAAGCTCTGATTCCCGCAGATACCTCCAACACTCTCACAACGATAGCCATCTCCACAACTCACCCTTCCCTGAGCTGGGCAGCAGCCCGACATCAACCAGTTATCACTCAAACAGCTCCTCTGACCACGAGACCTCTGCTGTTCTCTGCAGCTCTCCAGAGACTGATGGCATGTGTTCCCCCATTGACCAAGGACCCGTCCTGAGCCGAGGGAGCACGGCTCGGCACAGCCAAGAAACAAAATTAAACACTGAAGCAGCAACATTTAGTCATTCTCAGCATGAAAGTGGCTTTGTTGTGAAACAACATGGACCTGAGAGTATTTCTTATCTGAGGCAAAACCAATCCAAGTTAACGGGAACTGAAAAAGACGTGGACTTTTCACATGAAAACATGGCTTTAGTTAACTGTTCCTATACAGACTCTAATTCTATTCATAGCAAACCAACCCAGTGTGTTAAAAGCAGAACTTCCACTTACAGGCAGAATTTTGGCCTGCCAGTAATGCCCAGTAATCATCCTATTCACTCAAAATCCAACAGCTCTTGTGTCAATGAGGAATTACAACCATCTGTTCATACAAGTGGAATACAGTCTTGTAGTGACAACAGTACTGGGCTCATTAGGTACTCCAGATCTGAGACCAAACTGCAGTCATCTGTCAGCGCTCCAGTGGAGGAGCAGTCGCAGCCACAGACGAGAGACACACCCTCTATTGAACCAAGTGCTGCGACGTGTTTGCCTGATGGAGTTTTAACAAACCGGACAGACACAGATGTGGTGTCCACACCTGCGGAGGAGACTTGGATGCCCTCCAGTCTACCGGAGTTCAGCCAGTCACAACCAGAGGAGGATCCTGAGTTGCCAAGTACCGAGAGGGAGACGGGGAGGTCATATTCTCGTGTCGGTGAAACGCTGGAGTGCCACACTCTGGTGAAAGGCCTTAGATCCTATGACGCCTTGTCACCCCCAGGCTCCCCACTCCCACGACCAACACCGAGCCTTTGCTCCAAGTGGAGGAAAGAAAGGGAGGTTGACCTTCGAGAGGGGTCGACCCCAGCGTCTCTGACATCAAAGGAAGAGGCTCGAACCATGAAGGTCCCTGTACGCAGTGGGATAGGAGCCAAGAGGGGACTTGTGTCACGTACAGGCCCTTCCAGTAGCACGGGCATTCCCAGGGTACGCTCTAAAACAGATTCTTCATGTGGAAACCCACCCCCTACAAACTCATCAACTCCTACCCGCCTTGCTACTCCTCGTAGTCTGTCTATGCGTTCATCTCCTATTTCTCGAGCGGCTGAGGTGAAGCGAAGTAACAGCACACGGGAGAGAACTGTAAGTGAGGCGCAGGCTCCGGGGAAGCCCACCCTGGCCCGCAGGACTTCAAACAGATCTGTGCCAGAGAAAGGCTCTGGCAGCACCCAGCCACCTTTCATCAGAGGCACTCCTCTCCGCGTTTCCAAACGCCTCGCCCCAAACTCAGAGTCTCAGGTTCCCTGTCAGCCTAGCACTGCCCACAGCCCATCCTCGGCCACAGCCAAGACCATACGTACGGCTGTCATATCGGCAGCTCGAAATAAAACTGCCAAGACGACAAGCACAAGCCCCACTCCTGCTAGTTCTAAAATCCCAACAGCTTCAAGGATACCTGGGCCCAAAATGCCCCGAGGGTCTGCCACCTCCACCGCTCCTGCTGCTCAGCCCCTGTGGAGGTGATGGACATGAATAAGTGCCTCCTCAAACTTCTCCTGCCTTTACAGTTTTGTGATTGTTTGTTTGAGCTCATTAAAAATAGATTTGTGTGACATGCATGTGTAGTCTGAGTGCTCGGTTTCTACATGTGCAATAGGACCGTGAGGTGGGAGCATCGGGGATACTTCATCTCTTGTTTCACAGGATAGGGGATTTTCTACAGTCTACCTCTATTTACACCCATTTGTGTCCTTTGCAGGCAATAGGACAAGAAAACTCTGTCTCCAGTTGTAGAACAGGTTGATACTTAAGTCACAGTAATAAAATGCAACACTACTCTGTGCCTTGTATGTACAAGTGTGCTGCCAGAAGTGTAATCTGGCAAACCGTTTCAGTCTCTTGTATGGAACAAAACACTTTTTTTTTTCCTTTTTCTTTTTTAGGAATGCGTCCAAATGTGAATACTGTGACCTCTCTGTTAAGTGATCATGGTGTTCTCAAACTTGGCTGTCTTACAGTCCTAACCGAACTCGGTACAATATTGAACTATTCATCCTGTTGTGGTGAGGCCTCATCATTATGATGCACTTTATAAACTGAAGAAGAGGCTGTTGGGGGATTGTTATTATTATTTTGCTTATTTTATATCAAAAGAGTAAGTTTATTGAATAGCAGTGGTTGTTATTCGCTGTATTATATGGTTTTGTAAACAACAGAAGAGAAATAAAGATAGCGATGTGAAACTGTTATTGTCTGAGAAATGTGCTTGTCAGTATATATTCTTTATTTTAAAATATAAATATATTGTGTCTGTTCAGTATGCATTTGCTTTCAGCTGCAGCTCTTGCTGTCTTCTTGTCACCCCTCCATTTTTCTCTCCCTCTTGCTACATCTCTTGACACAGTCACCCCCATTCCTGTCAGTGGTTGTAGTCATGGAAATGCTGCAGACGTCCCGGGGAATCTCCTGGCAGAATAGTGGGGTGCAGGGGGTGGGGTGGAGGGTGACTGTGGGTGTAGGGGTCCCAGTGGGAATTCTCCCTTTATAGGCTTCGGTGACGCCAGAACCTCTTGGGAAAGGCAATAAACTGGTGCCTCTTTGTGTTCTCGAGTGTCCGGTTGTTGGTCACCGCTGGCCTTTTAACCTGCCACAGTGTATAAGTGGTGACATCAACAGCAGATCTCCAGGGGTGTAAGACGGAGCAGTCTAAAGTGATCCCTCTTTTTAGCTTCTTTCTGCAGTGATCTGAATGCACTGGATTAGTGGGAATAATGACTTGTCTGAAGGTGAATATGTGATATATGAGCTTAAAGACTGCTGCTCATCAAAGAGGATGAGGTCCAAAAGATACACAACAGGGTCTTTTATGGTCTGTTTGTATGCAGAGAAATTTAAGTCTGCAGACCTCTCTTTAAATGGGCAAATGCAGGAACAGCCTTCCTCATTTGCAGTTAGACTGATTGAAAGTGCAATATGGGCATATTTTCGGGTCTATTTTTAGAATGAGAGGCCTATATTGGAAAAGTTTGGTCAAGAGTGATAATGTGAAAGTGAATCATTGTTTGCCTCTATGTTCTGTCCCAGACTCGCTACTTCTCCTGGGTGTAGCTACACAAACCTGCTCTTTAATCATTTGCCAACCAACTTTCTTTATAAAAACACTTTAGAAAACATCAATCACTGGCCAAAGTGCTGAACATAGAAATAAAAATACATCAGGATAAAATAAAATAAAATATCTGACATATGGAATCAAAAGAAACCAAAAATAACAAGGTGACACAAGACAGTGAAATATTTGACTTGATATTCTGTAGCCACGGAGACAGGATTAGCATAAATTAGAAGTTTAGATTTCTATGGTGTCATCACAGCATTATTTAAAGAGGGTATATCATAGTTCCAACTAGACAACTTGCAAAAGCCAAAATGTCAACAGTGAGTTTACTGCAAAGAGAAAATATCTGAAGAAATGTCAAAATGTCTTTTAAATCTTGGCCAACTGTTACTGCTCCACGTGCTGTGAGTGGTGGTAATAATCTAGGTGGGATAAGTCTACCTGCTTGATTCTTTTTGTTTACATTAACATCAACATCACATTAACAAACTGATATTTTTTTCAAACCACAGAAGGCCACACTGAGCCCTGGTTCTTTAGAACAGAAGACAGGAAGCCAGATGGACAATTCATAAGCAGCACAAGGAAAGACTGCGCTGAGGACAAGTGTAAGTAAGACATTCAGAGATATTTACTTTTGTTTTATTGTTATTGATCAGCTCTGAGCCCCTGTGTAGAGTTCAGAGGTCTAATTGCTTTTCGTTTTTGCAGCTGCTTTCACAAAGAAGAGTGGCAAACATAAATCTAGCCACAATGAAACTGAGGAGCCACTCAATGAAAAGAGCAAAACATCTAGCTCAAGGGAGGAGTCCAGCCGCTCCATTTACAAGACTGATGTCCCCTTACCCAGCACATACAACAGTCATAGGCTAGGTAAGAATATGTTGAAATCCCATATGCAATGACAGAAAAAAGGGCTGTTTTCCTCAGAAAATCTCCAAGCTTAGCTGGTATTCATCTGATAATTAGTAGGGACATTCTAACAAAGCCTGTATAAATGTGTAGATAAACTAAGCCAATGTTGGCTGTTTTCCATGCAATAATCAAGACCCCCATGTCTGTTTTGTGTCTCTGTAGAGGACTTTGGATCAAAATATGAAGAGCTGGATCTGCTGGGTGGAGGAGGTTACCGGACTGTCTACTTTGGAAAACACAAAGAAGACAATATCCGAGTATGACTTGTTATATGTGTAGCTCACAGTTCTTCTAGTAAATCCTGTGCACTGTGTGCTTTTTCTAAACCACATTTTCTCTGTAATGCAGGTTGTTATAAAACATGTTTTTCAGAATCGTGTCGACCGCCTACCAATGGTAAGTGATGTTTGTCCTTTCCCTTGACACTTTTGCTTTTTGTTTTGGAAAGTTTGTGTTGAGAAACACGAATATTTCACAGCATGTCAAGAAAATGTCCTGCCTGAACACATGGCGCATATTATTCATTGTTTGAACACTGACCTAAATTTTCTCTGGTTCTAAAGCTTCTTAATGGTAAAATGACCAAAGTTCCCGTGGAAGTGGCATTGCTGATGAAAGTTGGGGCAGGACCACAGAATACAAGCAGCAATGTTACCCCAGTACTACTGGAGTGGTTAGACTCAGTAAACGAACTTATTATGGTCTTTGAAAGACAGAAAAAAAACATCAAGTTGGATGTGTATCTGCAATGCAGAAACAGGTTTCTGCATGAGAGTGAGGTTAAGGTAAGTGAGTGGTAGGAAGGAAATACAGTATCTCACAAAAGTGAATACACCCCTCACATTTTGGTAAGTATTTTGTTCTATCTTTTCATGGGACAACATTGCAGATATGACACTTTCATAAAATATAAACAGTGTACAGCTTGTAAAACAGTGTAAATTTGGTGTCCCCTCTAAATAACTCAATGTACGGCCATTAATGTCTAAACCACTTGCAACAAAAGTGAGAACACCCCTTCAGATACTGGGCCACAGGGCAGTACTCCAACATGATAACAACCCCAAAACACTCCCAAAAAGACCAGTGCCTTGCTAAATAAACTGAGGGTAAAGGTACTTGACTGGCCAACCATGTTTCCAGACCATCTGTAGGGCAAATGGAAGGTGGAGGAGCGCAAGGTCTCTTACATCCACCGGCTCCCTGATGTCATCATCAGAGCGGACGAGAAGCCTAGTGGCACCCTGTGAAGCTCTAGAGAACTCCATGTCCAACAGAGTTAAGGCAGTGTTGGAAAATAATGGTTGCCACGCAAAATATTAACACTTCGGGCACAATTTGGACATTTTCATCTAGGGGGTACTCACTTTTGTTGCCAGCGGTTCAGACGTTAATGGCTGTATGTTGAGTTATGTTGAGGTGACAGCAAATTTACACTGTTATACAAGCTCTACACTGACTACTTTACATTGTATCAAAGTGCCAAATCTTCAATGTTGTCCCATGAAAAGATAGAATAAAAAAAAATAAAAATAAAAATATTCACAAAAATGTGAGGGGTCTACTAACTTTTGTGAGATAATATATATAGCAATCTTTCATGGATAATGCAAAGCTTGTGGCTTGAACATACCTTTCTTTTCTTCGTCAGAATATAATGAGAAAGCTGGTAGATGCAGCTATTGAGATGCATTCCAGGGGTGTATTTCATCGGGACATTAAGGCAAACAACATTGTGATTGAAGTATCAGCTGATCTTTCAACGTATCGACAAGTGAAATACATTGATTTTGGCTGTGGAGCCACTTTTACTCCAGAAGCAGTCACTCGAAGAAGTGGTAGGTTATCAGTCCCAGTGTTCAAATGTTCTGGACTGTCCATGCATCTTGTGTCCATGTGAATTCCTCACCATTATTAATATTTCTCTGGATTTCAGAGATAACTCTGGACTTGTATGAATCCAACGCGAATACAGCAGACTGCATCACAGTTTTGCAGCTAGGCACTGTGATGGATAAGCTGTTGCACTACATACTCCCAGACACCTCCACCAAATCGAAATCTAGGACACGTAGCGACATTTCAGACGGTAAGCTGGATGTTGATTCCCCAACCTGTTGCAATTTGTGTTTGAAGTGTTTTCTGTGTTATCTTTGCCTTTGTCTGTATCGATCATCCACATGTGAATTTACAGGAACACAAAAATGTGACACCTCTATTTTATTTCTGTAAAGACTGCAAGGATTTTCTGTCAGGTTCTCTGAACCAGATCCATAAAGACCGCCTAACCCTGGAGGAACTTAAAAATCATCCTTGGCCCAACTGACGTCTCTACTCTGACAAATACAGGGTCATGGAGCAGAAGCTCCAACAGAGAAGTATTTATTAAAATTAAATAGCCATGTTGTAATTCTGTGCATTTCATTACCAGAATAAACTGATTCACAAGCAAATTATTTGATTCCTTGGATTAGCCTTTAACCCTTGAGGTACATTTTCCTATACCATCATATGTTTCTGAGGTTTACAGTTCTTTGTGGATCAAACCAGCTAAATTCTACAGTTTATAAGCACATATATGTATGTTGTATTTTCTTTTGTGTTAATACAATTTATTAACAAATAAAAGCATCGATGCAATACAAGATACAATTCAAAATGTATAAAACAATAACATAAAAAATAAACATCTCAAACTGTGTTGAAAGTCAAAAAGAAGAGGCTGGTCTTGAGAGCGGAATAAAAAAAATGGGCAGTGAAGAAGCCCGGTAACGAATTCCACAATTCACCACGATGAGAGGAAAGCATTGGTAACCGTTTCTGTCCAGGAGGACTAAGAAAATGTTTGACTAAAGTGTGAACAACATAATCACAATAATTTGATTCTTTTTATCACTGAGCCACATTACATATACAATCATATTGCTGTGTATCTATGCGATTTACTGTTCTTTGTGTATTATGCCAGCTACATTCTACAATTTATAGATGTTGCATGGAGTTAACTATCCTGTCTTTCTGCATCTGTGAGAGAACAAATCATCACACATCGGCTTGGGGAAGGTACACTAGCTGTACCTTTGGTTTAAACCCAGAACCTTCTTGCTCTGAAGCCACAATGCCAATGCATCCCTGTGTATAGCAATTTAACCCCTTCTACTCTCTGCCCCACATTGGCTTAACTTCTGTATGCTTACATAGATGTCACAAACATCCTGAGGCTGATCCTGCATTAAGTTAAATATGTGAACGCTGCTGCTTCCCCTGTGGGATAGGCTCCAGCCCCCCTTCCACAAGCCTGAATTTGATAAGGAGAAGAAAACAGATGGATGGAATATTAAATAAACACATTTTAAGAAAGAGGTTCTCTAATGTGAATATTAACTAGAATAAACAGACCACATTAAGCACTTATGTTTCCATTTCAGTTTATTATTATTATTATTATTATTATTATTATGATTATTATTATTATTATTATTGCATTAATGAGATATACTACAGCATATTGTAAAGGAGGGATAGTTTAGCACTTGAAAAGTTGATTTAGCATTTAGTTACTATGTCAAATATTGGTAATGTAGTAAAATAAAACTGTTAGAAAAGTGTAATTTAAGTAAAAAGTGATTTGGTTAATGTGAGTGTACAACTCACCTCGTTTTGTTCTTACTTTTCTCTTTGGCTCCGCATATTTTTCGGCTACATGAGTGCAACGTCATGACAATAGCTTTACACCGCCATCTAGTGTTATGCAAACGACTGACTCAAAATAGAACTACAATTACCAGCTTGCATTACTTCCCAACGTCGGTTTTTACGTGACAGACAGCTCCCCGGATGCGGCTGTGATTGACTATACCAGGCAAAAAGAGATCGAAAGCCAAGTGGCGGTAAGTCATGAAAACCGTTATATTTCTTTCGTACAGCCCGAAACTACTTCTGAAGTATATACAAAAATTGAGCAGGAATTTTGAGAAGCTGGTGGGGCAATAACTGGTCCTAAACATATCTTTTTGAGAAAGTGACTTGTAAATCAAGTTTCAGCTTGTTTGCTAACTAGCTAGCTCGCTAGCCACCAAATTCGCTAGTTCCTTAGCTCGATGCTAGTAAGAGAGTAGCTATATGCTAGGGGAACGCCTAGTATTAAAAGTGAACAGCAGTAAAGTGTAAACAACCGGTAAAAAACGCCTCTTGTTTTCCATTCACACCCCGGCCTCTCCTGGACAACAACTTTTATAAAGTTTGTTAATTAGGGAGCATCTGGAATTGGAGCGTACCTATGTAACGGTGATGAACGCTACGTCGATTAGTTAACGACGGGGACAGTTAGCTCAGTTGCTAACTGGGTGAAAAGCTGTACTGCTAATAAAACGGATATCTTGTGTTATGATCCCTTCACCGGTTAACGATCATGCAGGGAATGAAATTGCATGTTTATCACTACACAGTATGTGTATATGTTGCTGTTAGCAGTTATTCAGGTGTTTTTCCCCCCTGTTGCCAGGTGCTGCAGCCCCAGTGGTCGTAGGCAGGATGCAGACCATAAAGTGTGTGGTGGTGGGTGACGGGGCAGTGGGTAAAACCTGCCTGCTCATCTCTTATACAACCAATGCCTTTCCTGAAGAGTACATTCCCACAGTGTTTGACAACTACAGCGCTCAGATGAGTGTGGATGGCCGCACTGTCAGCCTCAACCTGTGGGACACGGCAGGCCAAGAGGAGTATGACCGCTTGCGCACTCTGTCCTATCCCCAAACCAATGTGTTCATTATATGCTTTTCCATCGGCAGCCCCTCCTCACACGCCAATGTCAGGCACAAGTGGCACCCTGAGGTGTCTCACCACTGCCCAAATGTGCCCATCCTGCTGGTAGGCACAAAGAAGGACCTAAGAAGTGACGCAGAAACGGTGAAGAAGTTAAAGGAGCAGGGTCTGGTCCCTACAACCCAGCAGCAGGGCAATGCCCTAGCCAAGCAGATTGGGGCTGTTAAATACATGGAGTGTTCTGCACTGCTGCAGGATGGGGTCAAGGAGGTGTTTTCTGAAGCTGTGAGGGCAGTGTTGTATCCAGTCACGAAAAAGAAAAAAGAAAAGTGTGTGCTTTTGTAATGAATGGTTCCCAGATTTGGACTGTGGAGAGGGGATGGTGGAGATCCACGGATGCAAAGGGAAGGCTGAGGAACAAAGGTCACCAATCGGCTGTCTCCGTATCACCTCTGGCAGTTTTTGGCTCCTCTGTTACTCTTTTCTTCCTTCTTCATCGCCAGGAGGATCTCGCCGTGTTGCCATCATCACCAAAATGACCATGCCTTAATGAGAGCGACTGACCGTTTCTCCTCTATTTTTCTTGCATTTTAACTTTTGATATTTACACGTTTCATTTTACATCTGTTCTACATTTTTAGCTTCTCTGCTTTGCCTTATAAAATGCTGATAATGGTTGCCACAAGCCATAATAACATCTAAACCAACAAACCAACCAAGCTACCCTGTTTGACTGGAGAGAAGAGATCTGCCTTTGTTCAGGTGGAGAACTAATGACTACCTCAAATTCTCACCTAGGTTGCATCTCATGAGTCTCAAGCAAGGTTACCATCAAGATGCTTTGACTTTGACTATTTAGACGTAATGAACAGCCGAGTAGAAGGTGAACAAGTTTTAATTTCAAGCAGTTTGAGCCCAGACATGGTTTGATGACTCCTGGGGAAATGCCAGTAGCCCTTAAACCAAATGCACAGATTAAAGGTTAAATTCCCTTATTACAATTCCCTTGTGCTCAGTCTGGTGTGTTAGAGCTGTTGGCAGGCTGCCCCTTCAGCCTCTCGCACTGCTCTTTCACTTCTCCACACGGAAGAACCAGTAGGTCTTTGAAGATAAGCCAGACCCATTAAAAGCAGCACACCATTTGTCCTCTTCAGTAATGGAGGAGCAGGTGTAATAAAGACTCAGCCAAATTAACTGATGCTGGTACAGGAGTTTTGGAGCTTACGCAGTCAGGAAGTCAGGTTGTCGTGAAGCTTCTCTGTCTACTTATTAACTGTTGAAGCTCACACCGAGTGCCATTTAAAAACATGCCTAAGAATTTCTCTCTGATAGGGTGGTGGTCAAGGAGGCTGTATTTTGTCTAATCATAGTGAATTTACTCTGTAAATGATTTTTTTTTTCCATAAATGTTTTTTTAACCTACAAGTACGGCCAAAGGTAAATGTTTTTGTAATAGTCTGTTTATTTGATCAGTAAGAGGTATGTGTGTTGTAGTTAATATTTCAATTTGATAAACCAGAACTCCATATTTCTTTTCAGTTTCATTATTGTCTTCCACTGAAATTCATCAATTATGACACCGCTTAACTGAATCAGTAAAGCAATATGTTTTAACTGGCTTACATTGGCTATATACTTGTAATACGCTATTGTCTTGGTTTCATCATAGAAGAACCGTGATGGCTCCCTTTTTAATCATGTAATAGAAGTTTTTGTACAATATGAAAGGAGCCTTTATTTTTTTGGTTAGGTGCCTTATCTAAATCAAAGACAATAGCAGTCTTCTTCGTCAAACCCAAAGCTTCTCATTGTAGCTCTGAAAGTGCCACAAGATGTTTAAGCACAGGTCCCACCCAACTCAAGAGTTTTATTTTTGTGAATTTTCAGAAGCCCTCTGCCTTACTTCCTGCCAGTAAATACACTCATCTTGCAGACTTTTTTTTTTCAAGACACAGGTGCTAAACTGACATCTTGTGCAGCAAGTCTTTGCATTTGTGAAACGAAGCTCTTGAGTTCCACACTTCTTAACAGATTGCGGTTCCCTGCATTGCATGGTGGAATAAGGCACAAGCGGAACTTGCACATATGGTTAGCAAAAAGGTGTGTAGGTGGAACGTGCTTTGTCACATCTGAAGATTTTTATACGTTTTTGTAAAATAGTTTTTGTAATGACTAGCTGCTCTTTTTATTTTTTATTTTTTGCTTACAGCTGGCAGCAAATATAGAAACCCTTTTTTACTATAGTTATTTTCATGTACACCTTTGAGCGGGTATATAATAAGTCAGCCTAGATTGTGGCCGGTGTAAAGTCTAGAATAACTGAAGTGCAAACCGAGCAAGAGGTTTTTGTGATAACAGTGATGCGGTTTGACATCTGCCAGAAGATGTGTGAACATTTCCCAGATAGGTTTGTGGAGAGTTGAATGTAAGTGCACGTTATGTTAAAAACTGTCATCTGTGGTGAGTTCGTTTTTTTTTTTCTTTCCATGTCCCAAATTCACTTAGATGATGCTGTTAAAGTGGAACATACACCTGTGGGCTCTGTGTCTGTGTCCTGGAGCTGTATGCTACCGTGTGCGTGGTACTACGCTTTTACACTGGGAACTTGATTTGTAGAAATCTGTAATTGTTTTATAAATAACAAAAGCATATTTGTATAAATGAACTAACAGTGAAATGATTTTTAAATTATGCCAAATAAAACGGTGGTTTAAACCATTTAATTTTTTTTTTCTTAAACCCATGACCCATGACTGTCTTCCTCTGATTTGGTTCCTTGCTGTTTTGCTGTAGCATTGCATGCAATCAGTGCAGATCTTTGCAGCTAGAGGGATGTAATGCAAGAAGAAAGTCGTGCTGAAGTGCAGAACAAACTAGAGTAACACATTTACACACGCTTACAGCTCAGGAAACCACATTATGTTCCTGTAGCACACATACTGTAATGCTATCTTTCATGTTAATGTTACAGTTACAGAGTCCAAACACTAGATGGACACAGCCCTCCAGCTCAGTTGCTTATTATCCAGAATTAGCACTAGTCTTCAAAGATTGTTTTTTCTTTCTTTTCTCCCCCCCCCCTCTTCTGTACATTTGAAGTTAATGGTCTATACCATCTGGTTTCCAGGCCATCATTCAACTTAGCCGACACACACAAGTTCAATCAGTTTCTGGGGTTTAAGAATTCAGTGCGCTCCTTACTCTGAAAAATTCCTTTGACCTTTATGGTTGGTGGATGTGACAAATGACGGATGTGTTAAACGCTACCAAAGGCTTGTTACAGCATCACTGCAGCAGCATTTAGAGCCCGTTTCCTCTGTGGTCTGTCTACAAGTGCTTTACAAGGCAGACTGTGCTGAATGTATGTTTACAGCTTGTGTAAGTTGTGCTCTGTTAATATGAACCTTAAAGGCAAAAATAATGCCTGGAGGCCATGAATGAGCAAATATGATGATGAAGGATGGGCATGTTTCTTTCTGCAACATGCAGGCAGATTAAAAAAACATGGGTGGGTTATGGTGATCCACTGTAAACCGAGTGGACTGCAAAAGGACTGATTTGAGCCTCCTCATAGCTCTCTCTATATAAACGAGGTAGCTGACTTCACTGCTGATAAATTCACTGGAATTTAAAGTTATTCAAAGCTGGATTAAAAACATCTGAGTTGTGTTGTCCAAAAAATCAAGACCTTGAAATCAAAGCTTCAGACTTATTAACAGTTAGCTGCAGTGGGCACGACTTTTCAGGGTGAAGCCCCAAATTTGTGTGCTGGATTAACCATTGAGTGAGAAAGTGAATAAAAGAACGCAAACATGAGCACTACCAAAATTGTAAAATGTTGAATTTATGATCTATGTGTTTGGAGACTCTAGCTGCAGTGCAATTGGCTGAAAAGTTATAGTGTACAATGTTATGGAAGTTCAGAAACAGCTAACGCGTATTTTGCTGCCCTAGTGCATTCTGGGAGTCGTTTCTTACCACCAGCTTCATTCACACTATGCACCAATCAGTTGAAAATAACACTTTATTGTTTAATAGTCCAAAATTAATATGAATATTTCCAATCTGTTTTTATTAAATGGAGATTCAGTTTACAGTCTGTTGTAAATAAGGTGAGTGTAGTTTTCTTTTTTGCGTGCTGCGCAGTCAGAAAACCGTTTGAACGCAGGAGCAGAAGGTGAGATTTTTCTGTTCCATCTCTGCCTGCTTGATAGAAATGTGCAGCTGAGGGTGAGCCAACCAGCTGATATCCACTCTGTGAATCATCAGTGTGTAGCGAGTGGGAGTGATGGCCCCCGTCGGGACCTTGATCTCAGCTCCGTCTATCGGCCCTCAATCTCCCCTGTTCCTTTCCTCCCTCACACTGTCCGTTTGATGATGTTCTGACTAAAGCCAAAAGGGCCGAGCAGCACTATTCAGTCAAGGAACTTGGGAGATTCCTCCTCTTCTCCTTGTCTAAAGATGAAAAAGCAAAAAGCCTTGATCTAACAGACAGCCTGCAGCTACAGCGAGACTGAGAAAGCTGCAGTTCTGCATTCAAATCAAACTGTTCCAGCAGAAGGAGAGGCAGAATGAGATTGCAAAGGAACACAGAGGGGAGTGAAGGCCGATGGCTGTGTTCGCAACAAAACAGGGCTCAGAGCGGAGGAGAAGGAGTGCTGTGTCAGTTATGGAACGACGGCAGCTGTACAGTAAATAACACCTGAAAACTGGAGGTTGTGGACAAACTGCTCGAGTGGGGGATTTCTGGGAGAAATGAAGGAGCAAGATAACCTGAATTTTTCTACCATAATGAAACGCTGTCAGTTTTAGAATAATTGTTGACAGCAGAAGATGGATAACACACAACCAGCAGCTGGTTATCTTAGCACAAAATGAAGAACAGTATCAGGGGTAACAAAATTGACTCATCAGCACTTCTGAATCTCTGGTACTGCAGAATTAATGGGGCCCAGTTAAATTCAATTTTGTGGGTTTTTCTTCTGGAAATTTTAAGTGTTTTCAGTTCAGGTACAGTCCCATTTTACTAAGCCACTTAACATCATACGCTTAGATTTCAGGCATGAAGCGAGCAGCATCAGAAGTCTCCTCTCCAATAACCTTCAGCCACCTCAACCACACACATATAAACACACGTGTAAGATGTGTTTGTTGTCATGTGGTTTCACTACGTTTCTAAAGTCTAGATATCCCCTCTCAGCTAAATATGACACCACAAAACAAAAATAGAAACAGCTATGAGGCGAAAGCTGAAGATGAAAAATGCCAGAGTCTGCAAAGGAATGAGTGACGTCTATGTAAATTCGCTGGCCACTTTATTAGGTACAAGGTTGGATATGATGACATCACGCAGTTGGTGCAGATTTGTCAGCTGCACATCCACGATGTGAATCTCCCATTCCACCAATTCCCAGAGGTGCTCTGTTGGATTGAGTTGTGGTGACTGTGGTTCTTGTTTTGAGCAGGTATGAGACAGGTACCCTGCAGTCATAAAGGGGTGGAAGTGGTAGATAATGATGCTCAGGTAGGCCTCGGTGTTTAAATTAGATTCAGTTGAGCGGAAAGCATACTAATAGAATATCCTCCAAGCTATAACTCCGCCAGCAGCATGAATTGTTTATACAAGGCAGGATGGATCCATGCTTTCATGTTGCTTGCTCCAGACCAGGTAACAGTCTTCTGTGACCCTGTGTGAACTGTAGCCTTGGTTTCTTGTTCTTAGTTGACAGGAATGGCCTTTGGTATGGTCTTTTGCTGCTGTTTGCCATCTGCTATTGCCTTCCTATCAGCTCGTAGCAGTCTGGCCATTTTCCTCCATCATAACCAGAACTGCCCCTTACTGGATATTGTCTCTTATTAAAGTCATTCTCAATAAAGCCTAGAAATTGGGTGTTAGTGTTTCTGCCCATCTGGCATGAACAACCATGCCATGTTCAAAGTCACTTTAATCACCTTACTTCCTCATTTTGATTCTTATTTTAAATTTCAGCAGGTTGTCTATGTGCCTAAATGCCCTGAGATGCTTCCATGTAATTGGCTCATTAGATATTTGCATAAAGGAGCAGTTAATAAAGTGGTCAGTGAGTGTATATAACACGCCGAAGAGATTTTGAGGTGGTGTCAGTTTTCCAGCATTTTCCATCGTTATTCTTGGCTAAACTTTATTTTTAGCACACAGACGTGACACTGATACTGACATTCTCAGGTAACAGTCAGCAACAAAACAAATAAGCATGTTTTCCAGCAAATTTGAACTATTTCTTTTAACATGCAGTTCATTTTTATTTATTTATTTTTTTAAATCAGTGTTCCTCGCAACTCAGAACGAGCTTAAATGAAGGCCTGCAGGCGCTGAGCTCTTTTGAGAGCATAAAAAGAGGCACGAACAGAGGAAAGAAAAGAATAGACACCCAGGTCTATTCAAGTATTAATTATGTTGGTTTGCAGCTTAGAGGTTGAGAACTAACTGCATGTGAATTGCTAAAGTAACAGCCTGGGAACAGAAAGTCCTCAAGTGCTCTCCTCACTTTTTTTCCTTTTTTTTTTTTGCTCAGACTGCTCTTCTGGGGAGGCTTCCGCTAAAAACAAGCCAAGGTTAAAACTGTGCTGATTACATGTCCCGTATAATGCGGCTGCCTATTGTTGATGTGCAAACCCTCTAAATCCACAAGAGGCTGTTCACACGCTGTCATTCACTGATGTCTGTATCACCACAGTGGGGAGAGGTGCCAGAGCAAGTCAACGCCGACACTTTTCCGTGGCACGCTCACACCGCTGCAGGGTTAGACCGATGAGGCGAGAAAAGGGGGGAGGGAAAAAAAGAGGGAAAATTGTTGCGGACATGCTGTGGTTAGATGAAAGTGAACGAAATCATTGAGCTTCTTTCTTCAGATTGGATGGCTCTTGTGACTGACCACACACGGGGAGCCTTTTGCCCTATCCAATTACCAGCTATAACTTTGGTTTTGTGCTCTGTCTGAGCTGTCATAACACAAAGATGACAAGACAGCATGAAACCGAGCACTCAAGTCTAAACAAGGCATATTTCCACATTCCTCCATTTTTTTTCTCCCTTTTGTCCTTTCCATGCTTCTGTTTATGCTTTCTGGTGAGCATCACTGTTAGCTATCCACATGATCTGTCTGCAAGAGAGCAGAACCTTTTCACAAGCTTGTCAATTCAGTCAGCAAGCAAAAGGTCACAGCAATGTACTGAACCGGACCCAAACGCTGTCAGCTCTGAATTCTGCAAACTTCATCCCCTTGAGCTCGCAGTGCATGGCGTAGTTACGGCAACAAGACACTGTTCTTGTCTGGCGGGCTGCTTATGCTTCATTGCAACATGTATTTCAGCCATTAAGAGAGAGCTGGTGGTGCTGTGGCCTCCATGTGCGTCCTGTTCTGCTTTGGTTGCTGCTCTCCTGCAGCGTTGCTTTGATCTCACTCCTCTCGTCTTTCGGGAGCAGATTTCACTGTTCTGCTCACATCAAGGTAGACTGTGTGACTTAACCAGGTGGAAAATGCTTTCTAGAGGAGAAGGGAGCCCGTTTTCATCCTATCTGAACTCACTTTTCTTTCCCTTTTCTGCGGTTACAAGCAGACACACTCTTTACTATGGACTTTTGCTTGTTGAAATGCACATCTATCTATCTATCTATCTATCTATCTATCTATCTATCTATCTATCTATCTATCTATCTATCTATCTACCACTGATTTGTTTTTATATCTGTTGTGGTT